GGAGGCAGGCTGTGAAGAAGGCAGTTATGTCAAACTGTGTGATAGAAAAGCTCCTGTTCACACTCCCAGAAAGGCATGCCTTTGGTGTTTCTGTGATTAGCATCACCATTACTTGCTGTGCTCCACTGAAGGAAGCTGGCCTGCCCTCTAATGGTTAAACTTACAGCAGCTGACAACAGTCCTGTCATTCACATTCAAAGGCACTGCGGGTCTACTGTATGTCTCTTTTAACACTTTTATTTAGTTCAGTAGCTGTGTGGCGACTCACGAAACAGCATTCCCACCTGAACCTTCCTGGGCACTACAGACAGATCATAGCTCATAATTATTCCTGTTCTTTCACTTTTTTTCTTGACTCGTTTTGCCAGCTGGGTTTGAGGGAAAGAGATTGAAGACTCCAGAACCATTCTTTTGGCTTCTTTTGTGAATGGAGGGCATGAAACCCTGTGTGTGTGGCTCTTTGTGCCCAACCTGAGGCATCTGTATTCCCTGGCAGTGAGCTTCGCACATATTGTAGGAACATTTGTGTGGATTTAAATCTGTATGTCTTCACCGATAGGCCAAAAGTACTGTACCTACCGCAGCTTATTAAAGAGGAGTTTCTATCTCTGTGAACTGTCTATAGCCCTCTGAATGATTAATGGTCGTGTTTCTGCACTGGGTCCTGAGTTTGCACGCTGGATTTCTCCCCATTTAAAGAATCTGTGTTTTGTCTTGGGTAGTATTGTATTAGGAGCTCGCACTTCCCTTGAAGAACAGAGAATGACGTGCTGCATTCGGACACGTGTGCTGCACTTCCCTTTAAAACGTCCTGCCTCTGATGCTGCACCCACAGTCGACAGTTATCTGAATCCGAGTTCAAGCTTCATATGACAAATATTTAATAATATCAGCTTAATTATTGAGCTTAATTAAACTCAACCAACATAGATTATGTTTGAGTTTAAAGTGCATTTTGCATCTTATTTTGGAATGTTTCTAAGAACCTGACGAGCCATGATAAAATCAGGTAATATTCCAAACATACAGCATGAACTATTAGTTTTCTTTGGCTTTAAAGCATTAAATAAATAACGTCATTAATGTTTGCTTTCTGAATGGTGGGTGTCTGAGGAAATGGCAAACAGCACAGAGGGGAGTAAAGGAAATATGGGAGGGAGGTAAACCAGTCCAAACTAACTGGCACCAGTCTGCGGCAACCAGAGCTGAGTGCACGATCATTTATCACCAAGCGGATTCAAGACTTTGTTCTTCTTGGGCCTGAGCTTTTAGCAAAGTACTGTATGTCACTGGCAATGTAATCTCTGCTATAGTACTTATCTTCTTTTAAGGAAATGAATAATAAAATAGGATGGTGTCCTTAATTACACTGTCCTTTGTTCTTCAATCGCTAATGTGCAGGGCGCGATATGTTATCCAAGTCATTGTGGAATTAGTACAGCGAGTGCCGGCCAGACTGGACGGGATATTGTGTCACACTGACGACAATTTCCTATCGGCTGAAAGCTGACTGCTTAAGGCAACAATAGACAAAGAGTCACCCATCCACACACAGCAGCGGGAAGAGAGCTCACAATTTGCCACCTACCTGGAAACTCTCCCATCCCCGTTGGGGTCATTGGCCCGAAACAGCTGCTGGACACTGCGGAGGCGGGAGCGGAGTTTCTCCGTGATCAGCACAATGATCTAGAGGCAGGGGTTAGAGGGTGGCAGTACGGAAGGAGACCCATCTATCTGCCCGGCAGGCAGACTACAAGGGCACTTCAATTACCCTCCGCGAGCACACTCCTAGCTGACTCCCACTCGCGCACACAGCTCCTGCTGCTCGCTCTCTTCCCATTCATCACCACGCACAACTGCAGCGTTCCCGAAAGCGTGACAGCCGTTCGATTTTTTCACATAACTTTTCTAGTCAGCGTGCTGCTTTCCTTTATCCAATTAAAAAGCACAAAAATAAACTACATAATTGATTTACATCTGTCTCTTCCAACTACCTTCCAAGAGCGTTAGAAGATCATCCTTTCTTGTAATTTGTTTATTATTGTATAAAGTAGGTGGTATTTCTGCAGGTACCATATGATAACAGTTACATATACATTACATTTTGAATTGAAGTTTTTTTAAACACCCAATTCTGAAATAATTAAATAAAATCTTACAGATGTCCAATAAAGCAAATAGATTAAGATCTATTAAATTAATTAATTTAAACTGTGATGAAATATTGGAGGTTGTGTTTAACAAATCTGTTTTATCTGGAATATGGAAACAGATTAAAGTCTGGACAACTA